CTGTCCGTCACAAGAATGATGCCATTTCCTTTAAATTCTCAGTCAAAACTAAACAAAATTTTGTATCCTGATGATTTTTGTGAAGGTCTTTTCCTGCTTTAATGAGTCTTACAGGAACAGTAGTGACATGCTTCTTGCCATCTATTGTGTGATAATTTTTTGCTGTAAGATGATAATAGACTGTTGATATGCCAATTGTGAACTCTTGATTTTGCAAAGCTTCTGTTAACTCATCAAGAGGTTTAACTGTTCTTCAAGTCTTGCATCTTCATTTGTCAGCGGCATTGTAAGTGGCAATCTGAATAATAGTTGATATTAATTGACTTAATATCAGCTATTATTCAGATTGACTTTCAATTATAGAAGCGCATCCAACCTTTTCATGAATTCCTGATTTAGAGGCAATCTCAGGATGATCTTTTAAGGCCTTGTTTCAAAATCATTTGAGGATAGTCGTTTACCACTATCCTTAAATGATTTTAGTTCTTTTTTGATACTTATTTTTTCTTTTTCCAAATCTTTCTTGTTTGAGATATCACATTGAGAAATTCAAATTCATATCAGAAATTCAATATATATATATACAGTCAGCGAAATTCAGGTCGGCATTCGACAATGCCAACGCAAAAGCCAACCTATCTTTGTTTTAGGACGGCATACAACTGCTGACCTGAATATTCTAAAGTGTCGGCATGCAAATTGAAATACATGTAAAAAATATCTAATTTTTGTTAAATATTATTTTATAATTTTATTATTGTAATTACTTGCTTTTCAAGTTTGACATGTTTCATTAAAACAAATATTCACTTTTTTTTTTAATTCATTTTTTCATTTTTTCTCAAATTATTTCAAGCATAGCAAAGTTAAAAATTATTACTTTTTAAATGCCTATTTCTCTCACGCTTTTTAAGTGTAGTTATTATTTTATTAAGATAAAAAATCTAATTATAATTTATTTTTTTACTTAAAACCATGTAACTAATTAAATAATTTACATGTTTACAATTTTTTTAGAATTATTTAAGATCAGAAAGTACATTAGGAAAGTTTTGCTTTGTTATAGTTATGTTAGAAACATGCGGAGAAGAAACATTAGTTACAAAACTTTTATTTTATAATTTGATAAAAGTTTATGCTTCCATTAAATTGCAACAGACACAACAGTAATACAGTAAGCTAACTCAAAACAATGTTTATATATAAGAAAAAAAACTATTTTTGGTATTTTTAACTTTTGTTTTCCCTCCATCAATTTACATATAGTTACAAGTTCATACTATACTATAATAAAATATTAAAAATCACCACCCCAACTAATGAAGAAATAAATGCTAATTTCTTATAAAGGTTAAACAACCGGATGTTTACTGTCTACTCATTTTGTTAAACAATTTGCCGTTTTAAACAAAATCTTCGCCAACAGCACATAAACTAAATTTGTATTTCAAACGATGTTCTTTCTATGAGCAATCTAAAAAACCAATCAAAATGTAATAAATAAACTATGACCATTTTTTTTGTAATAAAAATAACTTCAAAACTAAAAAATCACTTATTCATAAATTTGCTATATACTTAATTTATTAGACAAAATTTAATTGCTACATTCTTTAAAATATTATTGTCTGAAGCTATGCTATTATAAAGAAATCCTTTTATAATCAATTAATCATTACCCCTATTGTAACAGAAAGCAAAAAATCCTCTTTTTTTTTTTTTTTTTTTTTTTTGCTGACCTGACATCGGCTAGAGTTGGCACGCTTGTGCCAACCTGAAGTTCTTCAAATTTTGCTGACTGTATATAAATATAATATATATATATATATATATATATATATATATATATATATATATATATATATATATATATATATATATATGTGCATTTAACACCGTATAAAACATTAAAAAAAAAACAAATTGTCCAGATTGTAGCCATCAGCAGAAGAAAGCTATGCGTCCTAAATGTCATAAATTGTACCAAAATTATAATAACTTGGATTTTTGTTATGGTTGATGAAAGCTATTTTACCTTGGTAATGATAGGTTTTATGCCATTAATCCTTCTCAATGTTCTGATGAAGTAAGATGCAGTTTGCATAAAAAGTACTAGGACAAGCTCTTAGTTTCTTGTTGCATCAGCCCCCGTGGAATAAGCTTATTACATTACGCATAGTCAGTCATCAACTTTTTAAAATTAAAAAAAACCAAAGTTGTACCCAAAGATATAAACCCAGCTATTGTTCCAGAAGCAAGACCAATTGAAAACTTTTGGGGTGATTTAAAATGGCTATTGTACAAGAATAATTAGAGAGCTGAGAATTTGGAAGAGCTTAAAGCAAGAATTAGATATCGGGTGGACACGGAAAAATCCGGTCAACTTTAAATTGAGATTTCTCTAAAACCATAAATGCTTTTTATTTTAATTTTTTTATTATTAAATGTGTTTACATAAATTAGAGTTTCAACTTAATTCTAAGGGGCTTGATGGGTTGCTTGGCAAGAAATCGAACTTTATGGCGGGTTGATGCCATCATTTTACTGATTTTTTCTTTTTTCACCATATTGGTGGCATTAATCCACTTTTTTTAGAAGTCCTTTTTATTATTTGTTAGTCCACCTGTCTTACAAAGAACTCCTTTAACTATTGCCCAAAAATCTTCAATCTTGCGCTCTTCAGGACGATTTGGAGGATTCGCATCTTTAGGAACAATTTTCACATTATTATCTTTGCACCACTGTAAAACTTTTTTAGAATAGTGAGAGGCAGCAAGATCGGGCCAAAAGAGACATTGGTATTGGTGTTTTTTTATAAAAGGCAAAAGTCTTTTTTGGAGGCATTCTTTGATGTAGAGATTGGCAGTCAAGATCTTTTTAGTGACAAAACAAGAGGACTGCATACCACAGCTACAAATTGCTTGCCACACAAGGAACTTGGATGCAAATTTTTCTATTCGAATATATTTAAATTGATCATCGACAGGTTTATCTTTGTTTTCATAGTAAAACTGTTGACCAGGAAGTTGTGAAAAATCCGCCTTGCAATACGTTTCGTCGTCTTCAATTATGCACATAATTTTATCCGCCATTATTTTAACCAACTTCTTTGGGCATTGATTTCCTTTAATTTCACAATTTAAGCTACTCTTAGGTGTATTTTTTTTATGAAATGCTTTAATTCCAGCATTTTTAAGTACTTTTTTGATATAAGAACAAGAAGTCTTAAATTTTCTTGCTAGATCTCGCTGTGACTGATTTGGATTTCTTGCTATTGAATGTAAAATTGACTTTACCTTTTTGGATTTATGGAAAGTTTTTTTTCTTCCACTTCCAGGTTTTCTTTCAAAGCTTTGAGTAGTCTTGAACTTGTTTATAATATCTATGACTGTAGATTTTGGGACATTTGTGCGTTTAGCAATCAAGCAATAGGAAGTCGATGGATTTTTGAAAAAAAAATTCACAACTTTTTTACGCACCTCAACTTGTTTCCAAAACATTTTGCAAATCATTAATTTGTAAACAAAAATTTATCAACACCATTTAAGATAAGGAAGTAAGGTTTTATTAAAAAAAAAAATTAAATAAAAAGCAGTTGTGGTTTTGGAGAAATCTCAATTTAAAGATGATTTTTCCGTGTCCACCTGATATTGTTATTCAAAGGTGAATAAAGAAATTTTCTATACTCAAAACATCTTTCAAAAAAACTTTATAATATTGCTAAATATGGTATTTGAAATAATTATTTTAATATATTTATAAACTACATGTACTAACATATTAACAGTTGAAATATTAAATGAAACTTAAAATATTAATTTTTAAATTTTGTCCTAAATTTTATTTATGAGGTGTTATATATATATAAGTCATAGAAAATCACTTAGCAAAAATTTTTTTCATGTAACACTGTTTTATCAATGAAGAAATCTTTTGCTAAGTGAAATTTTTTGCTAAGTGATTTTCTACTACTTTATTATCGCTCTTTATTATTGCTCATATATATATATATATATATATATATATATATATATATATATATATATATATATATATATATATATATATATAAACACACACTCACACACACATACACATAACTTCAAAACTATTATAATTTAAATGTTATAGCATTCAGTGTTGTTTGGAACCAGAAACACTTTTGATTTGAGTTAATAAGATCTCTACTTATACAACAACATATTTTTAAAATTTCAATTATGTATGTGTAGAAAAAAACAACAAGATTAAATAGAAGATATCTTTGTATTTTTATTAATTGTGATTTAGATTTCTCTGAAGTTTTAATTTTTTTTAAATTTGCCCCAATCCAATCCCTCAGTTGATATAGCAGCTACTACTTTGTATGTTTTTCCTTAATCAGTTGATGTATGTACTGAAGCCCAGACATATCTCAGCATGTCGCCAGATTGCCATTGTAATCAGTATGACATCAAATTGTCAATCTAAGTGCGCTTTATGTACATGATATATGCGTTTGTGTGTGTGTTAGTGTGTGGGTGGGTGGGTGTGCATATATATATATACATTTCTTTTATCTCTGTTTTTTTTTAATTATTATTTTTTATTTCTTTATCTTATCAACCTGTTTTGTTAACTTTTTTTGTACTCAATATGATTTGGAAAGTTTTTCATAAGTTATTTGCTCTCTCAGATTGTAAAAACATGTAATGTTAAAGTGATTTTAAATATTCAAAAATAATATGAAAAGTACAATTTTTTAGAATCTAAAAAAATAAAAAAACTAATAGTAGATTTAAAGTTGAAAAAAAAATATTATGTTAAATAAGTTTTAGTTTAAAGTTGAAAAAATATTTTTTTTGCTTTTTATATAACATTAAAAGCATAAGTAGTATATATAAGTATATGTTTTAATTATTGTTTTTACTTAATTTTATTTACAGTATTATTATTATTAGTATTATAATCTTTTTTGACATAATGATAATATTTGTGCCTAACTTATTTTAAATTTCCAGGAGTTGAAGAAATGTGATGTACACGATGTCATAAGAGTTTGTGAGCCAACCTATAACAGCGATTTATTAATTAAAGAAGGAATCAATGTTACTGTAAAAAATAGTTTTTATAAATATTTTTAAATTTTAATTGAAGCAATCTGATTGGCATTAAAGCAAATTAAAATATACACTTTAGGATTGGCAGTTTGATGATGGTGCAGCTCCTCCACGAAATGTTGTTGATGCTTGGTTAGAACTACTAAAGTCTCGTTTTCATGAGCATCCAGGAACAACAATTGCCATTCATTGTGTTGCTGGTTTAGGAAGAGCACCTGTTTTAGTTGCCATTGCCCTTATTGAAGCTGGTATGAAATATGAAGATGCAGTCAACCATATTCGTAAAAATCGTAGAGGAGCTATCAATAGTAAGCAGCTTGAATACCTTGAAAAATACAAACCTCATAAAATATTAAATAATAAAGATAAGTCTGGGTGTTGTTTACAATGAACCTTCATTGTGAGAGTAACCAAAAAAACTATGATATTTGATGTACTCCGACATCCTTTTGGAGGTACTTTGCTCTTTTTATTTAAAGGTTAACACTAAAGTACTGAACAGATCAGGTACTTGATGATTGAATCCATCAACAATTTTTTTATATTCAGATGTATTTCGGATTATGTTCTTGTGTGTTTGACTTTCTTAACACTATTATGAAGGCTAAAGTATTGACTAATGAATGAAAAATGAATTATTTAATACGTAAAATTTAATTCCATAAATAATTTTGTAAAAATTTAATATAAAGAAGTAGTATATTGTTTACAAATAAATTAAATTAAAATAGAATGTAAGGATAATTTTTTGTGAAATTTCTATGTCTATATATATATATATATATATATATATATATATATATATATATATATATATATATATATATATATATATATATATATATATATATATATATATAATGTATAGTTTGTTTTTTTTGTTTTTTTTTTGGATTATATAAATATGTATTGGAAATTATGTATAGAAGAGAGTTATCTTTATTTGGTTACAAAATCTCATTAATGTTATTCTCGAAATAAATTACAAAAAGATAAGTTTTACAAAATTAACACATTCATTGTTAAGATTCACTGTTGACATCAGCTTAAACATTTCATAAAAACTATAGTTCTTAAATTAAATTTGAGAAATTAATTTAATATCCTAAAGTTTTAGAATGTAAAATGCATATTAAGCTTTATGAGTTAATAGAAAAGATAAGTTGTAGATATATCCAGTGCCATGGTCAGTGGGTCTAAAACCCCCTTCCCCCTCTACTCCTTCAAGCACACACAAAATATCAATAGGACCCCAATTTCTTTCCTTATATTATAGTAATAATTAGAAAAAAGCGCCTTTAATTTTCAAAGGGGCCCCAAAATTTTGCAAATGGCCCCCAACCCTCCACACCTTCATCTATGGTCAATCATATACATTTTTTTAATCCAATAAATTATTAATTGAAATTTATAACTTAGAATAAAAAGATACTGGTAAAAATGTTGCATAATGTTAAAAACATTAAAGAATCGCATGGTTAGATTGCAAATAAAACAAAAAGAAAGTGCTCGTTACGAGTAATCTCTCGTAGAACTTTTAAAGGATATGTAAAATCTTTTTGACATTTTTCTAATAAATGGTAATGTTATAAATTAGATCGTGTTAAACCTATGTGAAACGGAAATACCTGAAAACTACAGAAATCTTTTAGAAATAGGACTTAAATTTGTTTTAACTATACAAAATATACCCTATTTAGACATTATTTCATTAACAAAATCCACTTCGTTAAAACTAGAGTATTGCAACAAAATAGAGAATTCACAAGACTTACGCAGAAACGTGTTAAGGTAACTTAAAATGTTTAAACCGCAAAAAAACAGTAATTTAAATCATAAATAGAAGGAAACATTAAAACAAATTAAAGAGGACAAAAACATTAATATATACTCTTTTGATAAAAGAGCAGGCTTTGTTAAAATAGAACACAACAAAGCCATTGACAAAATTCGTCAAGAAATTGGCTAAACAAAGATAATTAAAAATGACCCTACCATTAAATTTGCTACTAAAATTAGAACTTAAAAATTAAAAGGGGTGATTTACCAAAAAAGAATATGAAAGTCTTTACCCAAGCGACCAAGCGACTCCACGTATGTATGGTGCAATTAAAGCGCACAAACTGGAAAAATCATACCCTAGGCAGATAGTACCCTATGCAGTTAGAAATAAAATCACTAATAGAACTGTGTTTATATAAACGTTATTTTTTAAGGAATGAAGAATTTCACGAGCTTGTAGATTCAGGTCCAATAGGACTTTCACTAATGGTAATACTTGCGGAAGGTCTCCTGCAATTTTTTGAAAATTAAGCAATCAACATTGCTTCATTCTAATCCACCGTTAGAAAAAAAAAATCGTTTTTGAGGTACGTAGATGATAGCCACGCAAGATTTACAAATAAAGATAATGCATCTGTTTTCAACAAATGTTAAACAGTCAACATCATACCATCAAATACACAATTGAGTAGGAGGATTTAAACAAAAGATTAAAATTTTTAGACATCCAAATAACCAGTAATCGAAAAGGTAAATATGATTTTTTCATCATAAAATTAAATCTCCATGTAATATAAAATGGGATCAAGTAAAATCGTTAAAAGTAGAACTCGAAAAATTTGAAAGAAAAGTTCGAGAGGCCATCGAATTTCAATTTAACAAATCCGGACCTAAGAACGGAGGTATGAATTTGGATGAAGGTCAATATGTAAAAACGCAATTCTGGACGCCTTATTTTTATACTTACGTAATATTAAAAAAGCCCACTTAAAGTGAACTTTAAAGAAGCCATTTAAAGTTACGTTACCGTTTGTTTGTAATTGAATTTAATTAATGATTTGTTAGATGCTAGTATAAATAATCTAGCGAAATATATATATATATATATATATATATATATATATATATATATATATATATATATATATATATATATATATATATATATATATATATATATATATATTTTCTTTAATATATAATTATTTCGATATTTCGCTGACCTATTGTGATCAGCGACATCAGGTATGATAAATAAAATAGTTACAAAAATCGTTATAGTAAAAACAAACCGTTAAAAAGATAACATTAAAAAGCCAAAATTTAATACAGAAAAAACTTTTCAAATAACTGACGTCAGCAGATTTTATTAAAATCTGAATAATAATAAGACAAATAATATAATAATGAGACAAATAATAAGACAACTAATAAAATCTGAATAATAATAAGACAAATAAATCTGAATAATAATAAGAAGAATTTTGTCAATGGCTTTGTTGTGTTCAATTCTAACAAAGTCTGCTCTTTTATCAAAAGAGTATATATTAATGTTTTTGTCCTCCTTAATTTGTTTTAATGTTTCCTTCTATTTATGATTTAAATTACTGTTTTTTTGCGGTTTAAACATTTTAAGTTACCTTAACACGTTTCTGCGTAAGTCTTGTGAAATCTTTAAATTCAATTACATCTTTGTTGAAAATGGCCACGACAAGAACATTCTAAATAATATTACTATAGACTATTTAAAAAACGGTTCAAAAAACACTACATTTCAACCATTAGATACCCAACCCTTTATAAAACTACCTTGGATACCAATTGTTGGTCCAAAACTTCGTAAAGAATTTCTAAAGCAAAACATAAAGGTTATTTTCACATCAACTCCCAATTTAAAAAATATTTTCTGCAACAATAAAACTAAACTACCACTAAACACAGACTCTGGCGTATACCAGCTAAATAGTTCATGCGGTTCGATATACATTGGTGAAACTAAAAAGAAGGTGATATCGAGATGTATTGAACACCAAAAAAACAGCTAAAAAGGAAAATGGTCCAGTTCGGGTGCAACTGAGCATTCTAAAACATGCCATGGTAAGTTTGATAGGTTGCACCCCGAAACATGGTAAGTTTGATAGGTTGCACCCCGAAACCTCCTTCCTTATCAATGGTGCGAAATATGTTCAGAGCTTGCTTCGAATCCTTGGTCTCTTGCTTCTAAAGCCTGCGCCGCCTTGCTGTATATTCATTTTTTATAAAATAAAATTATTATTTTTTAGCTTGTAATTAACCATAATCCAAAATACGACGAAGAGCAAGCGAAGCTTAGTAAATTTTAATTTATGACAAAATATACGCTAACAAAAAACAATTTGCGTCGAAATAAAAAATCTAAAAATTCAGTAATAATGAGAATTTAAGTTATGGAATCTTTACAACTCTTAATGTATTTGAACGAACATGAACAAAAAAACATTTACAGATCATTAAAAATATTAGGTTTACAGATCATTAAAATATTTACAGATCATTAAAAATATTCACGTGTTTTTTAGCTTTAGGATATTTTGAAAGCAAGGCGAAGCCAAAGTCAACATCGTAATCTGAATTTTCGACCCGTCCTTAAGTCAAACCATGGTCAAACCGAGTACGTACTGAATCCCTCCCCCCTCACCTGTTTCACGCTTTTTTACATTTTTGGGTAGCTCTCCCTCCCCCCATACAAGTGTACGTACTTTATGGAAGACCCCTTACTCTATTACTTTTTTTAGAATATTTCATAAATGTAAAATTGTTATCTAAAGATGATAAAATCTCATGTTATCAAGTTAGAAACTTGTTGTTGTTTAAAAATAGTGATTAATTTGGATTTTTAATAAATCAAATGATTTCTTTTAAATCGATAATTTCAAACTTAAGGAATATTAAATTATAACATTGACACATTGACATGACATACTGAGTATATTATTCACATTATGTAGCATTATGTATTTGATATTATGCATTTGATTATTATGTATTTATTATGTATACACATTATGTATATAATATACCTTATCATTATCATGACAATAATTTCATGTTTTGACATAATTAGCCACATAAATAGCCACATTAGTTACTACTTTATTTAATACACCAGATAAACCACCACAAAATTTGTATGCACACGCATGGTTAGTAGCCCTTAATGGAATTTGGTTGGATATCAATTATATTGCTCTTCTAATATGTAATATATATGACTCTTCTAGTCATATATATTACATTTTTTAGCTCATATAGCTACATGATACAGAAGTTTATCTGAAACAGTCAACACTGTGTTTTACCTAAAAAATTAGACTAAAAATGTATATGTTATTATTAATATGCTGGTCCAAGAAAAAGCAACAGTCAAGGCCATTTGCTGTTGGTATTTTAGCTTGTTCACCAGCAATGTTACAATAATTTTTATGGTAAAAAGTTCAAAGTTGCTAACAATGTTAAAATTGCATTCACCTGTTAAAATTGCATTCATCTGTTTTTTAAATGCAACAAAGATGTATGAAGTAAGTTCCTTCAGTATTTGATTATTATTAAAAATATAATAAAGTCAAAATTTTTTAAGTAACATATCTAGATATGTTATTGATATGATTGAAGCATCTAGTCTTTTGAGTAACATATCTACCAATTTAAAATTAATAGATATCTATTAATTTTAAATTAGTAGATATGTTACTCAAAAGACTAGATGCTTCAAATCCATGCTACTAACAACTTATAAGTTTAAATAAGAAGTTATGATTCTTTTGTTTTTACGTTTGATTCTTTCTTTTGTCTGAGTATTTCAGAAAAATTAAATAAAGTTATAAAAAAAGTACATTTGCTTAGGATGCGATTTTGATGTTGGTAAAAAATCAAATAGAAATATTGTTTTTTTGAAAATAAAAAAATATTTAGTCAATTAAATAATATCTTTTTTTTAATTTCTGTTAAACCTACCAGTATAAAACTTTTATATTCTTTTACTGCTTATGGACTTTTTATGACTAAATAAAAAGTTGCTTGGCTTTATTTTTTTGCAAGAAAACAAAGCTTATATTATAAATAATAAAAATATTTTTTATAAATGTAAACAATAAACTCCTTAATATAGTTAACTATTGAATATATATATATATATATATATATATATATATATATATATATATATATATATATATATATATATATATATATATATATATATATATATATATATATTAAAATCAATGAAATCTTTCTTTTATATAACCTAATTTTTTTAATGTAACCATGATAATGATTCTTCTAAAATTTTGCTGAAAAAAATATGTTAATATCTTTCAAGAACAGGTATTTATAAAAAAAACCCTGTTAAATCTTCTAATCCTTAGACAGATAATTGTAATTTAGATATCTCAGAACCCCTTACATAGCACAGGATTACAAACCCTACTTTTTAATCTTTTAGTAATTAATCTTTTATGAAATATTTGTTGATAAACAAAACACATATTGATAACAGTTTATTTCTACTGAAATGCTTCTATCTTAATTATAAATAATTAAGAATAGATATTAAAAAATGAAAAAGAGTAAGTATAAAAAAATTAATATTTCATTGTTATAATATTTAAAATATTATTATATATATATATAAATATATAAATAAACAACTTTTCTAAAATAATTCTTTTTATTTTCAGTAAAATTTTTACAATAATGGTGTATAATTATTGAGCTTAGTTTTAATTATGGTTATTTTGATTGCTGGTTTACTGTTAAGACATTTTGTACCTTTTTAAAATTAATTTTTTTTATTTCTCAGTGAGATAAAAAATTTAACTTTAAACATTCAGTAAATTGATAATTTACTGAATTTTTAAAACATTCAGTAAATTGATTAATAATACTTTGACAAATTTCGTTTTTTTCGTTAGTCAAGGTCAATTTGATTTGAAAACAAAAAGTATGATTAAAAGAATGACAACATTGCATAGCATTCATAAAGATATAATAATTGTTGTTCTTGGAAGTACAGCAACTGGAAAATCCAAATTGGGTATTGAACTAGCAAAAGTATTTAATGGAGAAATTATCAGTGCTGATTCTATGCAGGTAATAAATTTTAGTTTAAGCTAAAAATTAAAATACTTTATATTGTTTAAAATTTTACCAGATAAAGTTAGTGAGTGACCAGGGCTCTGGTCCCAGCTAAAAATAAGACTTTTTACAAACCCAGTCCTCTCAAAATTATAAGATTTAGCAGGGATTGAAAGCCAGGGCTAGAAAAAAGTTTATAATACTAATTTTATGCTTACATTTGCTATTTATTAATTACTGGCGTACAATTATATATTTTTAAGCTCTAATTTATTTCCAACAAGATTGCAAGCAACCACAATTAAGGTATGAGTTACTTTGAAATAGAGAATAAGTTAAATACTAGGAAACATATAACTGAAGACTTAAAAGGTTGTAAGTTGTATAAAAAAGGAAAACTTGAAGATGGATAAGAGTTATAAGGTTTTTTTGATGTTCAAGGAAAAAAACTGGATTAAAAATTTTTTTTTAGCGTGAAGATACAGATATAATAAAAGGATGCATCTTGTTGAATAAAAAACCAAGCAAGAATGAGTTTTGGTTAACATTAAAGAGTTAATAACTCATTTGAGCATTGACCATAATTGTATTAGTAGAAAAAAGAAAGAAATGTAACCTTACAGCAATGAGATAATGACTCAAGCATAGCAGATGAAGCAAGTCTAATAACATTTACAATGAACTTTTATACTTTGTATGAGAGTAAGAGGGTTGTTATTTGTCTTAATGGAAACGCCAACATTATTGGAATATTTTTTTTTGAAGTAATTAAATGAATTTTGTTGTCTAACAAAAATTGTGGATTTTATGTCCATAATTTAAATCCATAAGCCACTGCAAGCCTTAGGCTGTTACAGAAGAGAGATCAGATTTAAAATTGGCTTCTTGTTCTAAGCAATTAAAAAGTGAAGATTTTTAGTCAAGATAAGAGTGTAATTTTAAGTTGTCAGCAAATTTTGTTATGTAAACTTTAGTATTTATATGGTGTAGTATTTGCCAAAAGAGAAGATGATCAGATGGATGTGTGGTGTAACCCCAGCAAGACAAGAAAAGGAGTTATAATCTTAGACAGATTAGAAAAAAAGTTGTATCGAACAACCTTTGTAAGAAAAGATTAAAGTAAATTAGGTATCAGTATGAAGAGAGGTAGCAGTTTCAGTAGAAAATGGCAGTGGTAGAAGTAAGAAAGCTTCAAGAGAGTACAATACATGTTGTATGAATGAGCTTTAGTTAAGAAAAAAAAAAAGCTCTTTATTGTTTATATTAGAGAAACAGCATAAAAGAGGAAGGCTAAAGGTTGATGATGATGGTGATGATAATAATGATCATCATCATTATGATTATGATTATGATCATGATCATCATCATCAGGCTTTAGCATTCCTCTTTTATGCTATTGATGATGATCATCATATCATGATCATTATGATAATGATGATAATAATTGTCATCTTGATGATTTTGATGATAATAATGATGTTGATCATAATGATGTTTATATATGCATATATATAGAAAATATAACATTAATTTTGAATAAAAAATATATACTTTAGGATGTGTAAATGTTTATGCAGCCCCAGTCACAAACTCGGCCCTGACCCCGGTCATGGTCAAATAAGTATTAGAATATTCTTGCAAAAATTTTATATTAATGATATTTAATAATTAAAGTTCATGTTAAAAAAATATTGCAATGATTTAGTTAATACTTTTGTCAATTTAAAGAATGATGAAGTACTATTATTTTGTGTCAATAACAAAAAACTTATGCTGAACTTAAAAATGTCAATGAAAATGGTTCTGCCTTACACTGGTATGACTCATGCCAGTTGTAAATTACTGAAATAATGTTAAATAATAATTGGTAAATTATTTTACCTCATACTTTTTATGTATACTTTTTATTTAATTTTTTTCAATTTGAAGGTGTTTTTCTAAAAGGGTATTAGTTTTCGCAACTTTAAATTGTGGAAAACAGCCACTATAAATACATTAAGTAACAGACCAACCACAACCCGTATTACGGGTTGCTCTCTGCTAGTTTATTATAAATTATCATGGTTATCTAATAATTATTGATGAAAGAACATTTCTAATATAAGTTGTATAAATATTAAGTCACCACAATGGTTCTTCACCAAATACTGATAGGTTTTATCATATATTTTTATTGCACAGGTTTTATTATATATCGTTTTATGGTACAGGTATCGTACATTGTTGCACCTAATACTGATAGGTTTTATTGTACATTAGAAAGAGGTGGAGAGGTTAAGGCTATCACTTTTGACATTTTTAAAGCTTTTAATAAAGTTTGGCATGCTGGTCTACTCAATAAGCTTTCTTCATATAGTGCATCAGGTAAAATCTTTCTAATCGTTATATAAAAGTTGTCCTCAATGGACAGCACTCTTCTTCATATCCTTTAACGTCAGGGGTTCCTCAAGGTTCTATCCTTGGCCCTATACTCTTTTATTTACATTAACAATCTTCCAGATATTTTATATACTACAATTTATTCTTGTCTTGAAAAGAAGCCAACACTCTGATTATTTGGAGGAGTCATTTGAGCTTGAAAAGGATCTCACTTCTGCTACAACATGGGGCTCACCGTGGCTGGTGAACTTAAATTTAGATAAAACCCAATTTTTTTCAGCCAATCGTTACGACAATAATATAGATCTTCCTATATTTATTAACAGTGATGTACTCGACAAGTCATCTACCCTGCATCTTCTAGGATTAATTCTTAATTCCGATTTTTCTTGGAAACTATATATCAAATCTATTGCAAAATTAGCATCTGCTATAATATAAATCTTAAATTCATCCTTGTATGGAATACTGTTGCCATATCTGGGGCGGATCTTCCAATGATGCCCTTTCTATTTTAGACAAGGTGCAAAAACGCATTGTAAACATAGTTGGACCTGCTTTTGCAGCCAACCTCTAACTATTATTACATTGTTGTAATGTTGCTTCTTTTTCTCTTTTCTATAAATACTATAACAGGCACTGCTCTAAAGAGCTAGCATCTCTTGTGCCATCTACTAAAATTCATTCTTGTGTTACTCATCATTCAATTCAAAGTCTCATCCTTTTTCTGTAACTATTTCTAAGTGCTCCAAAAACTCTATATTATTATAATTTGTCTTGTTTTTTTCCTCTAACATTAGTTTTTTATATACATTTTTAAAAAGTGCTGAAAGAATTATCTTAATTATAATGAAACTTGAAAAAAAAAACTTATCCTAATAGAAGCAAATAAATTGTCGTAAAAAAAAAAAAAGTTAGATATAAAATAAAAATAATTTAGTTAAAGCTAAAATGAAAAAAATAAAGTTAAAACTTAACCAAATTAAATGATAAACTAAAACGATGAGCTTATTTAAATAACGTTTTGAAAAAATAACCTTGAATCATTTATCTTTAATAGTGTTTTAATAATATAATCTTACCCTTTTTGAATAAAGTAACATTTAAAAGTTGAAAAAAAAGATTGTTAACAGTTCTTTGCAGTAATGTAAAGAAAAAATAATTTAATCGTTTATATAAAAAGTTGATATAACTTTTTTTTATTTAAAGACATAAATACATACTTATAAATATAAAAATACATACATACTTATAAATATAAAAATTTAAATAATATTCATTATTACTTTTATCAAAAATCATTAGCAGTGATTTGTTGATTTAAATGTGTTTCAATTATATAAAAACATAAGTAAAGATCAAAGTTATCCAAGTCTAATGGCTTTCAAAAAAGTTTTTCTTTTTTTTTGTTCTCAACAAAATCTTTTTTATTTTTGAGTGATTGATTCTTATATAAAGTTTATTAAATAGACCATCGTTGTTTAAAGTTGCCGCTTATAAAATTAAATTTTTTTTTTAATTAAAAAATTATATAATTAAATAATATAAATGAGAATTTATACAAATTTCATTGGTACTTTAAATAAAATCATTAGCTACTTTATTTAAAAGTGTTTCGCTAATATAAAAACAGTAGTATAGATGAGCTTATCGAAATTATTTATTTTCAACGTAATTAAAACTATTTTATCATCAGCGCATTTGTTAAAAACCATGGTTGAATTGTTAAAGCAAAATATTATTTGCGTGGTCATAAAAAAAGCTTGAAATTGCATGCTTTTCTGGCTAAGCCTTTATATATATATATATATATATATATATATATATATATATATATATATATATATATATATATATATATATATATATATATATATATATATATATATATATATATATACATACATACATATATATATATATATATATATATATATATATATATATATATATATATATATTATATATATAATATATATTTATATTTTTAATATTTTTTGTCTTTATATGACCAAGCAAATTACATTTTTCTATGACGGTTTGACCGCGGCTAAAAAACATTTTAAAAACGCGCTAAATAAAAAATATTCTAAAAAAAAGTGAAATGAATTACATCAAAACTTCTAAACAAATGTTTTTATATTAGCGAAACAATTTTAAATAAAGTTACAATTTACTGAAAATGTTTTTTTTTAAATATAAATGGCAGTTGTATATATTTTTTTAATTTATAACATAGAAATTGTATAAATGTTCATTTTTAAAATAATCGTTATTAAAAAAATAAAAAGTTGTTTTGTTTTTATAAACGATGACATTCTACGTTTGTGAAAGTCTTTTTTAAGGAATATAAATATAAGAATAATTAAGGTTAATGCATTTCAGACGATAAACTAAATTTTGTTTAAAAAAAAAAAGTTTCAAGAAGCCATTACAATTTAATAAGTTTGATCTTAAATGCTTTTGTATTATCGAAATGCTTTTTAATGAAGTGAAAAAACACTTCTAATTAATTTTAAAGAAAGTATTAATAAAATGTTTTTTTTTTTTTAATATATATAATTATGTATTATTTTTTTATGAAAAATGTTTAACTTTTGATACAACAATGTTAGTTGAACAACTTCTCTATCTCT